TTTTTTTTTTCCCTAAAGATTTATTTATGCGTGCAGAATAGGGGTACAGGCCAGAGGTGCAGGGGCAGTGAGAGGATACACCAGAGACAGAGTGGGGAGCAGAACAGGCAAATGGATGAAATACCACTGCTGAGGGGAGCAGCGGGCAGGTCAGGAGGGGTCTTCTGTGCTATGTGGTCACCTCTGGGCCTGGGGATTGAACTCCCACTGAAGTGGCTACAGCCAGCTTGCAGTGCTGCATCCTAACCCGTTGCATCACCAGGGAGGACTGGACTTTATTTCTGATGTTCAGATATTATACAAGAATGTATATTGGGAGCAGATCTTTTCACTCATCTTGCTTAGTACCTGGTGGGTCCTTTCTCCATGTAGACTGATGTATCCTTCAGCAACTGTATCACAGTCTAGATTTCTATTAAAGTCTTTAGAAAATCCACATTGCTCTCACAGAGTTTTATAAAATACCTCATAGTATGAGGAATGTATTATTACCATCTGCATTTTTTCAGGTGGGAGACCTTGTTTCAGCTCACAAGTTTCAAGTGGTAGACCTGGGATGTGGAGCCAGTTGGCAGGCTCTCAATGCCAATGCTCTGGAAGAGCCAGACCAATTTTTACAATTTATTTTAAAAAGACTTGTCTTTTCTCTCTTTCTCATTAACACCAGGAACATTAAATCTTTTTGTAAGAGTCATTATTTGGGTTTCTCTGGTGGCCTAGGGGTTAAGTCTCAGTGCTATACCCTCGGTGGCCTACGCGTGATCCCCAGTCAGGGGAGCTAACCCACATGGCACAGCAGACCTCTCCTGTCTTACCTGCTGCCCCTCAGCAATGTATTTCAGCAGACCCGCCTGTCCTGCTCCCCACTCTGTTTCTGGTGAGCCTTTCACCCCAACCCCACACCTCTGACCTACACTCTAGTTTTTCTACACAAAAATACAGAAATACAATTTTTTTAAAAAGTCATTATTCATTTACTTTCCACTTGATATCTGCTGTTCTGGCATTACAAGGGTTTTCTACTCTGGCAAGACATAAACCCTTCCAAACCCTCTGAGAGCCCTAGAATTATTTTGGCTCTTCTTTCTTGTGTCCCTTCCTGGCTTTCTGGGTCTCCATCACTCAACCAAATTCCTCAGGCCGGCAAAGACCCGAGGAGTCTCTGCCCGGTCCAGAACTCAGTGCTGCCCTGCTCTCTGCCCCCAAAGGGCCTCGGCTCTCTTCACCTCTCTGAGAAGCTCTGTCCAGTCCCCTCCGCCATCTGCTACGGCTTGGAAACTGCTTTCAGGGAGGCAGCTGCTGCAGCCACAAATAAGTCTCTTCTCTGAGACCACAGCTTGGAGCTACCTGCTTCCAGTGTCCAAACACCATGTTTTATCTCTTTTTCCAGTTTTCTAAGTATTTAAGACATGCAGGTAATTCTGACTTCTGTTGTTTCATACAGAAACATAGAAGGAAACAAACATTTCAGTGGTCCTCTTTGAATAACTCAAATCCCAGGAAATGCTCACCAGGGCTCACTGAGTGTCAATTATGCACAAAAACACTAATTTACAGTCAAACTGTACATAATTCCTCACTAGTTATAAACAGCTTTATGAGGTTTGTTCAACTATTGTTAAAAACAAGGCAACATAGTCAAATCCAAAATGGAGTCACTTGTGCTAAGCCCATGCCACCGAACCAAGTCTTAATTACAATTTTGACCTCTCCCCACAAAGGAACACTGCCCAACACACGCAAGAATCACCTGGACAGCGCTTGTGAGGCGTTCAGTCTGATAGACCCTTGCTATTCCCTCCTGAAAGTGACCTCGCCACAATGAAGTGTGTTGATTAAACCTCCTTGTCTTGCTAAAGTCTTTCATTTTGTTGAGCTCCTATCTGCTAGGTGGGTGA